CCTCTAAAATCACCATTCAGTGCCGAACTCGAACCTGAGACCTCGCCAAAATCTTTCTTGCAAACTTCCTCAGCCAAAATCAAATCACGAATATCATTATATTTCAGTTTAGATTTACTTGCAGAACTGTTAATTGCTATTCTCATGGCTTCACAATTATCTGACAATGGAGCCAACAAGATCAGTGCACATATTTTATCATCAAGATCAATTTCCACAGACGACAATTGATTTGTGATAGTATTGAAAACATTCAGGTGTTGAGCAACATAAACACTTTCCACCATCTTCAAATTGAAAAACTTTTTTATCAAGTGCACATTGTTATTTGCCGATGGCTTTTCATACATACCTGATAAGGCTGCCATGAGATCTTCAGGCGTCCTTTCCTTGATGACGATATGTGTAACGGATCTCGATAGGGTCAATCGAATAACCCCCAGAACTTGTTGTTCCAACAAATTCCATTCAACCTCATCCATCATTTCAGATCTTTTCCTCAATAACGGAAGATGAAGTTTCTTCCCATAAAGATAATTCTCTATCTGCATTCTCCAATAACCAAAATATGTGTCATCAAACTTCTCGATCCCTAAAACTTTCACTTCATCTGCAGCCATCATTCTACCTCAAATCTGAAATCACGCTCTGATACTAGTTGTTGTTAGTGCGGGATCTAGATATACCAGTTGATGTGGTATATATATAAAACAAAACAGGAGAACAATCAACGAAGTGAAAAATAGAACGAGAAAAATCACACCAGAAAAGAACACACAGATTTATGTGGTTCGACAAATTGCCTACATCCACGGAGTTGCAGAGGATTTTACTACTTGAGGAATTTACACCAGTCGATCACCTCTACTTATAAGAGGAATCTCTCACTCTTCGTTGCTCTCTATGTTCTTCTCTTTCTACACTGAGATACACCGAAAAAACTGTACATCGAGATACACTGAAGAAGAAACACGTACAAGAGAAATAAACCCAAAATTTCTTCTGTCACAAGTCACCACGAAGATGCCTAGGGAGAACAATCTTATTTTTCTTTCTTCTTCCTTCACTCGCAAGGAACTACCTCTTGCACTTCTTCTCTTCCACTGCCCTGTGGAAACCCGAAGAACTCTTCCTCTGCCTCAAGGAAGCCTGAAGAAGAATATCGTGACTTCACATAACTATCATATCTGAAAGAGAGCCGCTCTTTTTATCACGAAGAGAATGGAGCGAAGGGATGCTTCGCTTCGCGAAATAGAGAAGGCGGAAACGGTTCGCAGCAGCAGGGAGGTGCGACTCTTCGCGATCGGGAGCCGGATCGGGCGCCGATTCGCGAAAAACGAAAGGAGAGGCGGGAGAGGGAGATGGGCACGGTAGTGCCGTTTCGCGAGGAGGCGGGACCGGGAGTTCGCGGGAGATCACGATTCACGATTGGGGAAGCGGTCTTCAGCGCCTAACAAATACCCCCAACAAAATTTGAAGATCCCAAAGCAAGAGAAAATTTGACAAAAAAAAAAAAAGGAAAATTATTCAATTATTTTTATGATTAGGTGCTGTCTTAAATAATCCGTACCCTTGTGCGAAGTAAGTAATGTCATAAGAATATGAATTGGATGCTTTGGCGGCGTTGAAACATTTCCAAAAAAGGCAAAAAGTTGACCATTCTCGCCGATTATTTTGCTTAAACATTCACTTAATTACAACAGGAAACTTTTTACTGTCGATACATCTTGTGGTCCCCACTATGGACCTTAAGCAATTATCAATATTCCAATTGCTAGTTATTACATCCATGGGCCCTGTTGCTGTCTGTATTGGACCACTGCCGAATGACTCAGTTTCGATGCTGTGCAAATAATGGTTATTATGGTGGCTAAATAATTATAATCAAGATGCATCAAAGTTAGAAAAAGACCAGAAAATAAATATTGATGCCATTCTATGATATCAATGTAAATAAAAAAAATTATTTTGATGCCACCCAATAGTTTAATATGATATTTTTTTTTTTGGAGATTACGGGTGAAGTAGCACAATATTATTATCTTAAGTGTAAAAATGCATATATTTTTAGTCTAATTATATTATATTATATTATCTATAAATATTAAAATAAGGGTGTAAGAGAGTTGAGTCGAGCTCGAGCCACCATCAATTTTAGGTTGAGTTTTTTTTAATTAATAGAGTTTGTGTTCGAGCTCAAGCTCGAGTTTAATTTTGCTAGTATGAATCAAAGTGTTTCTCGTGACATAAAGAAAATAATATTAATTTAAGCTAGTATTATAACAAAATAATAAATAAAGTGAGCAAATGAGAGATAAATAATAAGAAATCGTATGATAAAAAATAAACATTATCATTTTTTTATAATTCAAAAATAAAAACTTAAAATTTGTTATATTTTGAGTATAATTTATATTAATATTTTTTAAACAAGTTTTCTCATGAGCTGACATGCGGAGTTAAGGCTAACTTGCTAGTTCATCGAGCTTAGCTCGTGAGCCAATTATCAAGCTGAGCTTGAACTGGCTCAAAAATTGAGTTGACTCACTTACACCTTTATATTGAATACATAATAAAATAATAACCTTGTCGTAATTCCTTCTCATTTACACTAGAAATTGTCATGTATGTACAGAAAAGGATCATTAAGAAGATGATATCATCATAATTCACTTATATGTGACCTAGTCTCTCCGTCTGCTTTTGTATACTGATTTATCTTTCTTACTACACAATAATTTTTCCATTTGCATAATGATGAAGGAGTTCCAATGCACCTGCACGTCTTAATTGTAAAACCTCGCCGCCAAATGCCTTTCGCAGTCCAGGCTCTTCTAAAGAAGATAAAAGATATTATTCCTCGTTCCTAACCGGTTCCAGCGGACCACAACAATACTTTCCATGCAAGCTGGCCGTCATAAGAAGTGTACAGGGTCATTACACGTTCCCCTAGAAAAATAGCCATGAATTACTGTGCTATTAAACAATGGAATAATTACTCCATGCCTATGCATCTTTTAAGGGTTAATTGAACTTCGTTAATAAAGCTCTAATGAAGACAAGGTGCTTGTTATTGTTCTTTATAAAGACCTCACCAACAACCTCCTGCTTGCCACCATCCCCCTCTATCTTCCACGCATTCAGTTCTCTCTCTTACCATACCAAACAGCAAACCTAACTTTCTCTCTCTTTCGCAGACTACCATGGTGGATGAGTCCAGCAACATAGATAAGAGGATAAACGTTAGCCAGGAGGCTGAGGTGAGGAAGGGGCCATGGACTATGGAAGAGGACCTCATCCTCATCAACTATATAGCCAACCATGGTGAGGGAGTGTGGAATAATCTTGCTCGATCTGCAGGTGATTGATGTGTATAGATTTATGAACGATTTTTGTTTTTTGAGATGGCGAATCTGATTACGATAACATATGTGTTGGATGGGTTTTATGAGAAGGTTTGAAAAGAACGGGGAAGAGTTGCAGGCTTCGATGGCTAAACTATCTCAGACCAGACGTGCGGAGAGGGAATATAACACCGGAGGAGCAGCTGCTGATAATGGATCTGCATGCCAGGTGGGGAAATAGGTGAGTTTCTTCTTAAAGATAAGGAGTTGCTTGCAATATATGCATCCTCTTGCCGCCAACATAATTAAGCTTTCATTGAAGAAATTTTAAAAAGTGGGTTATGTAAATATTAAGTTCTATATATTTATATTTATTTTTATGTTTGTTACTCTTTCTTTTTACGTAGTAATAAATAATATAAATAATTGTACCATAACTATTATCAACAAAAAAAAATTTATTTTATGTCAGGTGTGATCTTGATAATTGTACGGATGATTATTTTAAGTAAGCATCATGTACAGACGAAAAACTAAAAAAAATCATAATTATTATATTTGTTCGCTGATTAAGTGAGCTAAAGAGGTTCATGTGAAATGATTTGTGATTAAGTTTTTTGAGAAAAAAATTACTTTCAATAAGATTGTGAATTCGAATCAAACTTTAAAATTGTGATTTTGTCGTTGTTTATTCAACAAAAACAAAACTTTTGCTAACTCCCCATAAATATATTAGTTTTTTCTCTCCTTTGTTATCGTTTAATTGAGAAATTTAAATGTGTCAAATCTCACCGATGGTTATTATTCTATCATACCTTGTCCCGATCTCCACCGTCCATCAATTTTTTTTAAATAATAAAAAATAAGACACACAAAAATTTATCTTTGTTCTGATGAACTATTGATATTTGACACATATACATTTTCGCATATGTTATCCATATGAAATGATTTTTCGAGGAGGGCTGAGATAGCCTAATTTATTTTTTGGGCTGATCTCAGCCCTCCTCTTCCGCATAAACAAACTATTATTCCCAATCTCATATATTTATTTTGTAGCTGTTATATTTTTATTACCGTTTATGTATAATACATTAAAAATTATTTTCCTTGAACAATAATTAATATATAATTCGATCAACTCACTAATCTCGAATAATTAGTGCTCTAGAGCAATAATAGTGAAAGAGGACAGAAATGAGTACTTTAGTGTGGCTTGTGTTGGATATTTTCTGGTGGCGCTTTTAGAACATCAATTCATAAAAAGTTCAAATGAAGATGGTGACTTTCATGTTAACTATGGAAAGTAATTGAGCATATACCGAATGAGGAAAGGTCACACAAGTTCTCGTTTCTATTTTTTATGCTAACTTTTTACTAATTTTAATTATTAACTATTTCTTAGAATTTACTATATTAGCGTTAAAATGTGTTAATATATGTAAATAATTAAGCATACAGTTATATATAATTCTAGTTTCTGAACTTCCCAACAATTTTCATTCAGTAAAACATAAAACGCTCTATCAATTGCTGAAATAATGAAAGATAAAAAAAAGAGAGATCATAAATAGAATTGACATCTTTCGTAATACATGTGATACACACATCTTCGGAAAAATAAAATAAATAATAAATAAAAAAAAAATTATTAAAAATTAATTCATATTGAATGTACGCATATGAGCTTCGTAAGATATAATACAGTTTTTTCTTATCTTGATTTTCGAGTACATGTAAGAAAAGAAAAAAATTCGCTTGAAATTCTAAGCATTTTGCTTGCTTTCTGCTAGAAAATGAAAGAAGATTGGGGATTACTATATACAAAAAAAAAGGGAAGAATAAAGAAAGCTCCCTCTAAAATCTTCTTTTTCCAACGGTACGCTAAAGAACAAAGAAGTAATATTACTTAAAATAAATAAATAAATTGAGATCACCCGAGCGTGGATTTTAAAAACCAGTAAGAAAGTAATATGTATCAGACTCATGCAAAAGAAAGAAATGCTTGCACATACAATATTTATATATACTTACATTTACCATCTTCATGATAACAGATATTTTGTACATTCCTAACAGAGAAATGAAATGTTGATTGCAAATCCTATTTGCAATCCAATACATATTGATATCCTTGGACTAAACCTTGGGTATTTATTTGCCAAAAAAATAGCATATTTGGAATAGATATTTCTGTGATCACCTAATTATTTGGTAAGGTTACTATTTTAAAAATGCTTTTACACCAAGGTGGGGAAACATCAGATATTAATCAGAGCTATCAACCTAACGTGAGCAAATGTCTGACGAATGACTTTGATTGCATTTATGAATCAAGAGCTAATTCTCTTAAGTGACATGCAATAAACTAAATATATATCAATGATTTAAAATCACCTACTAAATATTAAGTTTTGTATAATGTCGCATAATATTTGTACTTAATTAATGGCTTTCCCAAGATCAATCATATCAACACATTATCCATGTTTAAGAAAATCAAGGAAGAAAAACTTGCTCAACAATATTTTCTTTGCTATTAGCTTCTTAGATTTATATAAGCGTCTCTTTTATTTTACATGACAAATCTATTGGATATCGAGATAGCCAATCTTATCTAATGTATAAGTTCTAAAATGTTGGAATAAATTAAACTTCTTGATCTAATGACATTTCAAATCTTTTTTTTTTTATTTTTTATTACACGAGATGGTCAAAAATTGCGAGGCAGCTCCCCGGAAGAACTGATAATGAGATCAAGAACTACTGGAGGACTAGAATCCAGAAGAAGGTTAAGAATGGCGATGCTGCCGATTACTCTAGCCAAATGGCCATTGATGAGGCCAGCACAAGCCACACAAGCAGCATTGAAGAAGGAATGGCTCAAAATAGCAATTACCCCGTACAACCAAATACCAATCCTGAAGCTTATCCTCCCTCATACAACGCTGCTGAATTGGGTGAAAACTTTTGGAGTATGGAGGATTTTTGGTCAATCCAATCGAACCAATCTCTTAATGGAGATTAATTAAAGTAATAAATAAGAAATTGATCGCTCTTATATGTATGAGTTATTGATGAAGGAGACACCTGGCTTTAATCAGCTTCATATATTTGGTATGTATGTATATTTGTTTGATTCTCCAGGTTAGTAAAGCGCTCGCACGCACTTGCATTTGTTGAAAAGTGGCAATTATTACGGTTAAATGCAATAAATCAAGTGGGAGGTAGCTTGCGCTTGATTTGCTTAAGTATTATATGTTGCATCTGGATTCTGGAGCTATAGATTTTATAAGGCTCAAATAACTTGTGTAAATGCTGTCTGAATTTTACCAGTAATATATCAAGCCTTTTAACCAATGCTTTAATGTATAGTTTTTTTTTTAATCTTTTTAATTAATAGCTTTATGTTGCGTATATTATGAGTTAAATTTTGTTCAAGGTGTACATTCTGTGTGTGTTTTTCTACTTTTCATGGTGATATTTTATTTATTTTTCATGCAACCTAAGTGTAGAGAAATAAAAATTATTTGGTATGGTCCCTATATTAAGTACATCCGACAGTGGATGGAAAGATCATTATACATGTACGTAAATTTGTGATGATGTTACCTCCTGACTATTCATCTTGTCCTTACATCCAGACATCTGCATGTAATAATTTGAGATGCTTCGTGTGCGTCTTGATGAAACCAATTTTATTAAATAATTATTACACATCCTCACATAAATTTGTCTAGGGATTTTTTTCATCCACGTTGCAATAAACATTGTTATTAGGGTTATTAGGGCAAAAATTAATTGAAGAGAAAAAAAACTTATTGCCTCATTTATTTGAGAAATCTTTACGTTTAGATAGACGGATGTAAATTTGCATTCATGTGTCTACCAATTTGTGTCTGAAACGTATGCAAAATCACATCCAGCATTCACGCGCACGTGATAATTTCTTTATTCTGTAATGCATTTTCTTTAAGATCTGTGATAAATAAGATATGTGGTTTGGATTTATAATTTTGATAAAATAGCATTATCTTCCAACTAATTAATCGCGATTACTTCCACTTGCATTGCTTTTGACTACTTCAAAGAAGGTACAAAAAATCATAATTTTCTTCGCCAGAAAATGTCGCATATGTAAAATTCTTTCATTGCCTTGCCATAACAACTAATCAGAAAATTTGCAGAACAATACATCTCTATAATTAAAATCAGTAATGATGATTTTATTTCATACTATATTCACAACAATATTTACAAGACAACATTAAACAATCTTAACATTTAAATTGATAATAATTATAAAGTCATACAGAAAATAAACTTTCACATTACTTTGCAGGTCAAATGCAATGCTTCTAATTATAGTATTCAAGTAAAGCATATAAACTATCACAAATTTGAACTCTAGCTAGCGGCACGTTGTTTCAAAATTTTGAGTAAATATCAATTTTCATCGTTATTTCTCACAGAAGTGCTACTAAGATTAGTTATCCTTCAGCAAAAGCCTTTATTTTAGCCACAACATTGAAGGAAATATTAGTGTCAATGAAAGTGTTAATCTAATGCTTTTAAAAGGAAAAGAAAAATGTGTGAGATTTTGGTTGAGTTAGCTGAGAGCTTTCTCTTCAGTTAATAGACCCGAGTTCAAAACATACATTAACCACTAACTACTAATTTCTAACCATGTTGTATTTAGGGCTCAATTTCTGGAAGAAAAGAAAAGAATGAGGTCAATATATTCGAAATAAAAATTTTTATGTAATGTATTACAATTTTAAATGTTTTAAAAGTTACAACTTTTATAAGAAAAATATTTCTTATTGTGCTAGGTATTTATCTTATTAAATTTAAAAAAAAAATTATTTTATGTAGTATTCCAATTTGTTTTATAAAATATTTAAGAGATTTGACATCTTAAGAAAACTGTTGTCCAAAATGTCTTGAAATACTTTTCCTTTTATAAGAAGTCTTCACTAAAAATTCTAAATATGTGCTAGCAATAATCACACTTCATTAATAGTAGGCAAAAGTATAAAATGTAGCTAAAAGACTACTTTAAGTCTGCTCCATTCTCTAAGTTGATTCTAGCTACTTCTCTTCTTAAGATTTTAAGCACTTTTGCTCTTAACAAAAAATTTTGCTTAAAATAAACATTTCTCACGTGTTAGTTTATAAAATTTAACCTTACCTTTTATGAAAAATATTAATTTGAAAATTGATATTATTTAAGCATGCCCCTTTTTAAAACATATATAGCCCGTGATTAGATTTTATTAGTCCCAATACAAAATCATACTGCATTATAATTAATAATATGAAATTTGCATATATACAACACAATTTTTATGAATCTACACTTTTAATATTCAAATTTTAATTGCTATTTATATAACATTTTAGTGTCTTAGTTACATAACTATGTAATATGAAAAATTATATCATTCCTTCACTTCAAATTTTTTTTTTTTCTAATGATATTTTTATCTAATGTTAAAAATATGAGTGTCATATATGATATATGTGTATATTAAACTTTTATATAATTGACTAAACTACGATTGAGTATCTGAGAACTCGCGGCGACAAAAAGTAGAAGACGAATACGTACACCATGACGATGGCAGGAAACACAAACTCCGCTCGAGTGTACACCCCTATCTCATGACACCATGTTGGATGGGTCATTGGGGAGGCACGTGGAAGCATCCCTCATTGTCCCCTTCTCCAACCCAACCAAAACCAAGTTGCCAACCATAGCAAATATGGCTTACCGAACGCCTTCTTTCTTGTGCTGCCTAATTCAGTGCATAATCATCAGCCATGGAAGAGTCCCAATGTCCCATAATTATGTAGCTAGTGACCGTTGCCTAACTATTAGGCGCGACCCATTCCATGCCCGTTCAGCTATAGCCCACTGCCTAATCCACAACGTGCTTGTCTACCACAAGTTTAATAACGATAGGGACGATCACATCTGATTCATCACAGCCGTTTGATATGCACCACGTGTGTAAATCGGACGTACGTCTGAGATCAGTCCCTGCACGTGCTGGTTTTGGCAAATGGATTGATCAGTTCGATATATCAGAGGATGATCAGAGGAATTAATTTACCTGGAGGATGACGTGGAGTTTCTTTATTGGGGAAAATAGCTGAGTCGTTTAAGGATTTTAGTATTTGCTTATAATAATTAATAAAATTAAAATAAATAAATAAAATAAAAGGTCCTACTTGGCTTACTTGTGGCGCATTCCATGGAAGAAAATGAGAAATGGAGAATTAAATATGGGTCCACAAGGCACGTGAGGAGCCTAACTGATTGTTGGAATTGGAACTAGCGATGTGTAATGATGGAGGAATAAAGTCCTTTTAATGAATAGCACACCAGAAATAAAGCCCAAATAAATTTACTTAAATTGTTTTTTTTAATTAAGGAAGATTTACATACAAAACACTTTTTTTTTTTTTATTTTACATATTTATAATCTAAAATGCAATTATTTACATATATTTTATCTTGTCTAGGCATGAAAAAGTACTTTTTTTTTTTTTTTAAGTAGTGATATTATTGATATGATATAAAAATTTTGGGAGTAAAAAATAAATGGGACCATCACTTATATAGCACGTGAAACATTCTTATTTACAAATCAAACACCCATTTTTATCCATTTATCAATTTCTCACCCAAATGTTAAAATTTATGTTAAAACCTGAACACATGTGTTTCATTTTTATGAAATTCACAATGATTTGATCCGTGACACTCGTAAATAAATTAGTTCGATAGTTCAAAAATATAATATGGGTGATAGATTTTGTAAATATCAATGGTTCAGGCCCTATGTATGTAATTTTCTAAAAATACTTTTATGCATTGGATATGTAATTACATACAAATTGGGTGGCATTTTTGTAAATGCCCCTATAATTAAACAAGGTCATTTTTTGAAAAATTTCAGCAGATAATATTCCTATCATACATATAGTTTCTTGCATTTCATGTCAAAATATTGTCTACACCCTATGCTAATTTTGTATAGAATATGCTGGATTTTTTTTTTTTTTTGGTTATTTCAACGCAAAAGCCGTCAACTTTTACATTAATTATTTCGAGAAGAAAGGACGGGAATTTCGACGAATTGATTTTATTCGCATATACTGTCAAAGTTATTTCTTCTTTTTAATGCTTTTATGTTGTTCTAATAATATATTGTTTGAAGTTATAATTTATTTTGTTTGAAGTATATATAAATTTGTCATTCGTATTAATGTCTGGAAATGCACAAGCAGTCAGTCGGATAATAATACAAAAAGAACTGTTATCATAATTTCAACCTGCTCAATCTGCCGTCACCCAAATATTTGGAATACTAAACATCATAATAAGTTAACCTCAGGTTTCCTAAATAAATGTCATCAATTCAAATTTCAAAAACGTAAATTTTATTTTACTTTTCAAGTGAGTTTATATAGTGCATTCAATAAATATGATTTAATTGACATTGAAAGGTTGAACCGTTTGAAAATTAAAGATATGATTACAAGAAAAAATGATTGAGTGTTGATATTTATAGTTAACTATATTGATCCAATATATAGTAGTAGAATTGTGCAAAACAATGCGGAAAACACAATCACACGGCAAGCAAAAAATCAAATATTGTGTGATTTACACGGTTCAACGTAAATTCACCTACTTCCGCGGAGAAGGGTTGTTCCACTATCAATAGGCGAAGAGAAAGAGGGGAAAAAATAATTAAAATAGAGTTACTACTTTACACATAAAAATTAGTTCTAATCTCTTATATAAATAAGAGAGGATTAAGACATACAAATTATGAATGTTTTTGATATAGAAAATATCCCATAATTAGATCTCATCTAAATAGGATACCTAATATCAAGCTTCCTAATATATAATAAATCATGTAATTAGGTATCTTTGAGTTAGTTTACTTAACATTGATCTTCAACATATACACATTTCCAAATATACAACCGATAGATTTAATACTTTCCATAGCAATCTTCGCCTCATCTCTCACTTCATGATAAGTGAGAGAAAATCAAAATAAGCTCCAATATCAAATCAACTGCATCAAGATGATTGCATATGTATCACTCTCCCGAAGGGTTTAAGCCTCTCGTAGTTTTTTAAAATGTCTGAATATATAATCAATCATGAGCTCAAATATTCATCAAATTGCTATATTAGATCAAATTCTAGACAGGTAGCATATTTGTGAGTATGTCTGTTGGATTTTCCTTTGTATCTATCTCTTTAATGAAACACCAAGTTATTAACCACACAACCCACGTTTTATTTCCGAGAAATATCTCTCATGCCCTCATGTTTT